TTAAATGTGCTGTCATCCAGCATTCAGTTAATATGTGCAAATCAACAAATATGTTTTTTGAACCTAACGGATGATAATTTCATTATGGAAGAGATGCTTCAGTAGAGTTTATACAGTATAAACATATAACTTGTTGTAGTACATGTAGGTAAAATTATCAGTTGGACGCAAATATTTCGAATTGATTAACTTTATAAAAGAAAACTCGTTTAAGGTATTAAAATGTGTCCATACCGAAGTCATTTTATACCAAAATCAGTCTACACCGAAATCATTCTGTAACAATTATTTGATCAATTACGTGCTTAATCTAATTTCGGAATACTTATATTACATTTAATGGGACCCACTTTCAAGAAGACAAATTAAATTTTAATTGGTTTTTAATGTAAGTTTATCTTGCCGAAAGTGACGCGTTTTTACCACAAAATGATGCTACTTAAAAGTTTGGCGGATTCGAATAGCAGAGAAAAGACAAGAACAAAAATTTAATTGTTTTAATTTAATTGTTTTTATTCAAAATTATCATTTTGAATATTTCTTATGTTGAATTATATATTTATGTTATAATAACATATAATTTAATTAATTATAAAATAATTAATATATATAATTCAATTAATTAAAATATAAAAAATTTTTATTGTTGTAGTTTATTACTATTTCAAAAACTCTCTATATATAAAAAGTATTTCTTCATAAGCTTAAATTTATATATGATGAATAAATTATTTTGTATAGAAAATGAGTATGTGATATAAAATTACAACAATATCTTCCTTATATTGAATGCATTGAATTCTTATATGTATAACCTTACAATTTTTTTTAAGTATTGACAACTACCCATCATTAGTCGTGTTCGTATATATATTTTGAACTTAATTTCTCGTACATTAGAACTACTAATCATACGTAACTTTAAATGAATATACAAAATCATTTCTTACCGGTTAATAATAATTTACTTTTAAATCTTACATAAATCATTTTTGCGAGCTTCCTTTGAGCTCGGGGTCGTCAACGACCGTTAGTGGCGTCTCAAGTCGCTGACGGTCAACGCTGCCATTGTGTGAAAAGCACATATTTTTTAAACCTATTGCAAAGAGCAATAACCCAAATAACTGTAGGGTCACCCAAATCATTAAAAATATTTAAACAACGTCCTTACCCTTTCAGTGCTAGCAAACAATATTAATATACAAGACTTTTCTCATAAAAATATCCATTCACTCAAAAGAGCCTTCTCATTGCAATTCCGTTTGATTTATTCCAGTTATTTTATTTCCCGCCATAAATAATTAACCTTCCATAACTAAAACTTCATTTTGTTAATTGCATTGTTTATTAAAGCCGAAATTAGCTTTGCGTTTAATAAAAACATTATTCATCATGTTTTTTTATTCTGTGGTATTCTGCACTATATAAAATAGTTCCATTAACTTTATTTACATAAATCTTATATTTACACATAATGGCTTTTTTACGCATTACAACATGCAAAGCATCATAACAATTAATTTTACACATATTCCACATTAATACACGATTACATTACATTTTTATATACCATATATATATGCTTTATACTAATATATGTATCTATATGTAAACAGATGTATATTGAAATATATCCTATGTTCTATAAAAAAAACTCCATAAACAGAAAGAGTAGCAGAAACAAATCATTTTGGTAGTAAATAACAAAATCATAATCGTAACGGCGAAGAAAAACAGAAGCTTTTTTTAATTTATATTCAAAGTGTGCATTGAAATATAATAACATAGACTCACGCAAGGACCTTGGCCCTTGCTTTTGGCTGGACCTCATGTCCTTTGTTTTATGCTGGCTAATTCACGCATTCATTGTTCGTTCGCTTACCCGCTGACTTGTATCTTAGCCAAAAGACTAATTGCGTATGGCACTGGTAATTAAAAGTCGTAAGCCTGCAAAAATAAAAGGACGAAATATAAGAAATAAGAAAACATTACATGCAAAATTTCAAATTTGACGCAAAGAAATGATGCTTTGCCTTAGATGAATAAATTCATTATGAGAAACATAAAAACTCATAAAATTTTCTGCATAAATCATAATCTTATCCTTTACACACGCAGAATATTAAATATATTAAGTTTGCACTTCTAGTTTGGTCATTCAATTTATGGCTCACACAATACTTAACCTTTAGATAAACTATGAATTTAATCAACAAATTATATATATATATTAATGTCAATGTGCATACACAATATATTGTCAATATTATTGACAATTACAATAATCCAACACTAAAAATACAGCGAAATCTGATAAACACAAGCAGATACAAAGACATCACATCCATCATTTTATAAAGCCCCATATTCAGTTATTCTTAGTGTGACTTAAACTGTCCACAGATATAATAGAGTTAAGGTTATGAATCACCAACTCAAACATCTGCATATCAACACATCAACATACACAAAAAAACAGATACCTATTGCAACCATGAACAACTTACTTACATACTTACTGTTGTCTTCTTCTCCTTGTGGAGCATAGGGCCCCTGCCATAGATAAGCCTAACTCTATTGAGTGATTTGTGGTTTATATAATTACAGTTACGATTTGCATTATGGAGTTCTCTATCTATAGTTCTGCGCTATGTTTGTGCTGATGCGACAGGACTTCTAGACTCTTGGAGGTTTCATCTGAGTGCTGTTCTTGCAATATGTTCTCGCAAGTCTTCGAAGTATGTGACCAATCCATCGCTACTTGCTTCGACCAATCTAAATTGGAACGCTTTTTTGCTGTGTATGGCTCCACAGGTCTTAATTACTTATTCTTTCAGCCATTTTATACCAAGTAGTCTGCGCAAGCACTTATTTATGAAAGTCTATATTTTTGATACAATTCTAAATCTTCAAAATGTCTACTGTATTCCAAATTTTCCGTTCATTCAACCACTCATAACTTCATCTAGGCGGAGATAAAATAAGCGACAAATAACATCCCTGTCACAATCCAGTATGAACTTCAAATGGTTCTGACAGCAGACCGGTGTGCAGAATTCGACATTTGAAATTGTTGTCCATGGCTTTGACTATATTGATTATTTTCGATGGTAGACCTCTGCGCAATAGATAATCTCTATATATAATCTCTGTTAATACTATCTAACGCTTTTTGAAATCAATAAACAATGCATATAAAGAAGTACGAACAACTACCTTTTAACAACACTCTATGGCAATCAAAAGTATATGTCAAGGATTTTGAAAAAGTATTCTACCTTGACAGTTTAATAATCACTGGCGGAGGACCTAAAATAGATTTTGCACTGTGAGGATTAGTAATCACAAAAAATATCAAAACTCATACGAATCCAACGTCAAACCACTTCTACTTTTTGACATCAAAACTTGAAAATAATATATACTGAAAACCACAAATGTTTTTAAACAAATGTGTTTAAAATAATTTTTCACGCCTTTTAGTCTTGTGTTATCTCTAATAATAATCTATCGGACTTGACAAACAACATTATGATCTAATAAAAATCATTAATAAAAATAGAAATAGATGTGGATATAATACTTCTTACAAAGATAGAAGAACAAAATCACAAACATGATTTTTAGGTACAATCCGAATGGTTAAAGAGATTTAGTTTTCACCTTATAAGCGGATAAAGAGCGTCAGAGTATCAAGAGTAACTTTAATCTTTCCTTTTTCTTTTTATGGACTTTATATATTTTGTGAATATTTTCTTTTAGAGACTAACAATAAGTACTTGAAACTTAAAACTATTTAATAATATTACAAAATTATGTTACATGTCAACACTTACTAGCTACTACCATATAATAAGTAAATCTTATTTTACGGGCCTCTACTGTACATTATTGGGCTAAGAGAATAGAAAGACTGGTATATGTTCCGTGAATAGGCGGTCCATTGAACATTATTGGGCTAGAAGAATAGAAAGGCAGGTATATATTCCGTGAAGAGGCGATTTGAGGATCATATATTCTTGCTAGAAAAAAAAAGAAAATGTGGTAAAAACAATAATAATAAAAAATAAAGTAGGGTTAGTTTTGACTTGTGTCAGTGAGGTGTAATCTTTTGGATCTTTAGTGTCTTACCGTAAAAGCAAGTTTCGTGACGAAAGGTTTATTTTAGGTATAAAGTTAGGTATTTTTATGTAATTTTTAAGAATTCCGATTTTATTGTAGGTAACATTCTTGAAGGCCATTGTTAGTTAAATGTTTTAAGAATATATTTGAAACAATCTTTTTATACTACTAGAATCATGGAAACAATTTTTAAGATTATTTCAAATTTAAATTTTTGAATAGAAACTATTGCTTTGTTATTATGTTGAAGTTGTTTTGAGCTAGTGCACTTAAGGATTTATACTCTTTTTTAACTCGAGGTATTTGCAAGAAGTATTTTGAACAGCATTAAATCACAACAACAAAATTGTATTATTTATTAATTATTTAAATTTGGATAATGGGTTTTTGGTAATACTCTAAACAGCTGTATGGTCAGCTAAAACTTCATTTAATTATTAAATAATGAAATTTTGTTTTTGTAAAATAAAATATGTGTTCAAAATATCTCTGTATATTATATTATTAATATTATTAATATATTATTAATATTATTTCAGATACAAATTTTAAATACATAATGATAAACTTTATATCGTTAATATAACTTATAAGAATATATTCCTCACATCTGTGAGGAAATTAATTTTTTTAAATAAAGTAATAAAAAAAATATGAAAATTGATATTTTGGTTGTTTGTTGTAGCTGTAAAAATTGTTCCTCAGCTCATACTCAACGTTAATTAAATGTGCTATAGACTATATACTATCGAAAACAGTGTTGGCCAATCTTTCTCATAATTTCTTCTAACTGTGTTTCTTGCCAGTTAGGCCTCTGGCATCGCTTAGTATAATCATTGCTTAGCATGGTAGACAAATGTTACTATTTATTTTGTCTTTTATTGGTTGAAGTTAGGCACTAATATCATTTATACCGGGAAAAAAGTCTATAGTACTTATAAATTATGATTTATATCGTTTCGTACTAGTCTGTCAAAAATAATAATTAGACTCAACGAATTTAGCTTCATCTCAAAAATGATAATGTAAGAAGTTGTTTAACTTCGATAATGTAAGGAGCTATATTGGGAGCAATAGTAAGACTAGTGCGGTAATTATAAGGGCATCCTGATGGGCATTAGTTGAATCTAAGTGATACTGTTAATGTTCGTATCAACACATGCCTTTTAAACCTATGCTGATCTAAAAATAATGAATGTTGATTCAGATGTAATAACAGATTTTTACCAAACCAATCCACTTTAGAAAACATGGTCGACACTTGTTGATACCTGCGTAATATCTTAAAGGTTGTGTTTGCCACTAAATTATTTTTTATTTTTTACTTAAACTATATTTATTTTTGAAAAATATTTTCAATATATAATCTAATCTGCTCTTTCCTCTCTTATTAAATAATTTTAATGCATTTCTAACATTAATTGTGACACTATTAAAATTAAGTTGTGCATAGCTAGTTTGTCAAATAACAATCAGTTAATCAATCCCTTATGGTAAATATTCTTTAGATTGATTTCTAGTATGGTCCGAATATTAATATGGCAGCTAGAAATCAATTTTCATGAACATTTTCTTTTCCTTTATATTAAAAAAACTTTTTTATTTTCTTATTAAAAAAAACTTATTAATCTTTAAATGGTTATATATTTTTTTTGTTTCTTTATATTATATCAATACCTCATTTTATTATAAATCCTTATCGCTAAGGAACTTTCTATCTATCGCATGCCATTTTCTCGCAATCAACATCTGAAGTGAGCTGCTTACTTCTTTTCCTTTAAAAGCGCACAAACTTATTCATTATTATTCTTAAGCTCTAACGAATTTGTGCTTGCGAAGGCAGATACTTATAGTAAATCAAGCATCCTTGCATTTAATGGTGCATTCTTATCGAATTAAATTCATTATTGATATTACGATTTGGTTAATGCATATTTACTTCATGTCAAAAGAAACGCAAGTTGCACCAAAAGCAATAGTGCAAGTGCATCAATGTTATTGAAGTTATCCTCGAGAATAGTAATCAAGGAAAATTATCTTGGGGTGATATGATAATTCAACTTCTGTTATAGTATTAAAATTGTTAGTAGAAATGAAACACTAAAATTGAAGTATTACAATATTATAAGAATTTGAAAAATATGTTTAAATCTATTTTCTTGCCTCGATGTGAGAAAATAGTGCAAACAGGTATATATTTTCATATACTAGATTAACCAGGTCGTTGTTGCAAAACTAAACGTAACTAAATTAAAATTTCGTTCAAACATTTATTTCAACATATTGTTTGGGTGTGAAGTACAACATCATTTATATATTTTTTACAATACCATCCACAGATCCATTTGAGGATATTTTCGAATACCTATTAGCACAAAGTTAGCAATAGTTTGCAAAAACGGATTAGCAAAAATTTTACAATTGATTTTCATTACTCAATTTTCATAAAGGAAATCAATGATATAAAAATGATATGTTGAAGAAGTGTTGAGAGTGATATGATTTAAGAGAGATAATTTTTTCTGCTTATACTTTTTTTTGGAACGACAGAAATTTCTCCACAATATCTCACCAAGAAACTTCTTATACTTTTATAAATATTAAAGTAGTCCTGAAGATAGGAATTATGACTATACATATGGGTCTGGAACATGTTGTCATACCATTAAGGTATTTGTCTCATTTCCCCAAACATTCTGCCAGTCTTTACATAACTTATTCTTACTGTGCCCCATTAAAAAATAGTGGTAAATTTTTTTTCCCTTTAGGTTTGTTTTGTCGGTTAAAATATTTAATATTTGTAACCATTTTACTTAATAGAAACTATTGTATTGTATTGTTAGCTAAATATTTAATTAATATAAACTAATAAAATTTTGTTGTTGCAATTCACTACATAATTTTTGAAATTTTTTACTTCCGCCTGAACACGGAATTGCTTTCAGAAAAATTCAAATATTTCCCCCGTTCCTAAGTTCACCGTTAGAGTTCTTTTATCCGCAGTTTCCAAGTCCGTGACGATATATGCTGCCCCTGTGTGAACGCATAACGAAAAGTGCACATACGCTGTCAAACTTACGCATCTCTCGTGCTTACCGTACAGTACCGGACGATGCTGCAGGAGTATTGGGTGGACGTATGAAAATAGATTTTGAAACGCTCGCAGCCAGAGACAGTTTTTTCATGCGCTGTCGTCTACAGATTAGTGAAACTGACTAATCGCTGTCAGATTCTTATTTGAAAATAACAAACAAATAAAGTCAAGATAGACGCACTTGCTAATTTCAAATATAAAAGTTTGTATCAGTCGAGAAACTGGATACTTGGGACAATTATTACTAAACGCAATTTGCTACGGGGCATGATTACTTCCGTGAATTTATTCCGATTAAGGCTGGCAAGTAAACTGTATTCCCAGTTTTGTCCACATAAAATGGAGTGCCCCAAACATATACATAGAAACTGTATAAGATTCGTAGATACTAGGCAAAATCTAGAGACACTAATCGGGAAAACCAGCCGTTCTTCCCTTGTAAAGCAGATGTTGACAAACACTTAAGAGTGGAACCTTTACAAGTGCATAATCTCTAGAACAACAAACATTGTTAAAGCGAACGAAATACTTAGTACGCAATCAGAGTAAAAGGAAGCTAATTGCTCTTCTAAACTGTTCTGTGAAGGAACAATTTAATTAGTCGCAGAGATCTCCAGGATTTTGATCTGAGAATGTAGGGACTTTTTAGTCCGAGACATGTATTACTCAATGAATCTTGCATGAATAGAGCATGCAAACAATACGGACCATTTGTATCTTTAGAAGATTTTTCCTTCAGTTTCGATACTTACATTGGAAAGCAGTGACCAATTGGTTTTTACAGTTCTACAGTAAAAAATTCTACACGTATATATATTTTATCTCTAACTATTTCGAAATATTTTGTAGGGTGTCCTTATTGTAATGTTGATCCTTTCTAATATTTTTCATTTCATTGTTAATAAAGCAATAATTTTAAAGCAAACTTTTTTTTTACTTACCCAGTGAACCTTGACACGTAATGAGTCTGTTCGGTTGTTTATTGTTTTGGTTGTTGTTGTTGTTTTTATTGGCAATTAACGTGTTTGTTAGTTTTTTTTTTTATAGAAATTAATTATGTGGTTTATTGGTGCGGGCCGCATAAAAATTAAATTAATTTTTATTAGTGAAATAATAAATAAACTTTTTTTCTGTTAGAGAAACTAAATTAAAACAATTAACTGAGCTTTTTTGTTTTTTTAATTAAATTACATTTACATTTTTTATTTTTTATTTTTACGATTTTATTTATTTAATTTCTTTTTTACAATTAAGCTAGTATATAACTAATTTTATTTAACTAAGGGAAGGATAATTTGTTCATGTGCTTGAAAAATTATATTTACAAACATTACATTACATACAATATACAAATAATATTTCGACTTACAATACCAATTTTAATATTAAGATATTTTTAGCAGATAAGTTTGAGTGTACAAAGATGCAAGATTAAATCTTAATTAAGTGGAATTTACAAAATACAAGTACAGATATTCTTTCCGAATTTAAAATTAGAAATTTAATTATTTAGTCAAGTAGTTACCATTGAATAGCTGTACTTTATACACTTAACTCATTTGCTTTCAACTAATGCAGTTATAATAAATTTAAGTTGCACTTAATTATCCTTCTCCAAATGCACTTGCACACTCAAAACGCTTTTAAGGACTACGGTGCACTCACAGAAGATTTCAATTAAATTTATATATATTTATATATATTATGTAAAAATTTACACACTAACCTAATAAATACTTCATGTTTACAGCATAAAACACTTTTAGTGTTAAACATTAAAAATAATAAAAAAAATGAAAAATAGAAAACAGAAAATAAAAATAAAAAGAAAAAGAGAATACAAAATAGAACCAATAAAACAAAAACCAAAGATATGTTAAGAAGTGTGTATGTTAAGGAGTATAATCCTGCCAAGCTTATAAGAGTGCAGAATTACACTTCAACATTTACAAAAAAAAAAACACTACAGCGAATATACACAAACCAAATAAAAATAAAAATAAAAATAAAATACAAATAAAAATAAAAGTTAAAATGGAAATAAAAGTCATAATAAAATTACCAAAATTGACACATCAGATACATTTTTTGGGGTTAATACTACCAACCATACAGGATAACGAGCATAAAGAAGTAATGTACAAATACGTTTACAAACATAATTACATATACATAAAAGCATAAATCAAGGCTTCTAGTTTCAGCTTTTAGCTTATCTGCTACATATATTTGTATATAATATATTTAGTTTTTTTTTGTTCTTTTTGGATTTTTATATTTGTAATATTTTTGGCATTTATGGCACAAGTTTTTTAAATCCAGCACCTTCTTGGCCAAGTTTGAGCTCTTCATAAATTGTGGGATTTACTTCTTTGCATTGGGTTGAGTGCGCATCTGTGCTGTTGATGCCATCTGTGACATCGCGCGTTGGTGGCTGTGAGGTGGTGCCGCTATTTGTTATGGCTGATGTCACAGTAGGTAACTACCGGAAGTTGGAAAAAAGATTCGTATAAATTGGAATGTATAAATACAAACATACAATAAACATTGAAGGGTATTTGGCATGTTAGCGTAATACACAAATACACAGTTGAGATTAAAATAAAAAAAAAATCAAAAATAAAAAAAAATAAAAATGAACTTTTTTTCCACATGAAAACGTAATAATTCCAAGTACCTTTACATGTTTATTTGGTATTTAACATAAAAAACCCTTAATCCTCTCTACTCACCTGCACTTGTTCCAGACCACGAGTGTATGTGGGATTTTCAAAAGCTACACCATTGCCAGCTATCTTACCGTTTGCTCGATGGCGTCGATAGAATATTATGGCTGCTGCTGCCAGCAATATTGCCAATATGCTGGCAATAATGCCGCTGATTGTGCCAACAGCATGCGAATATGTTGTCGCTGATGTGACATGATTATCACCGAGTGTGAATTTGATGGGTTCTGTTAAGACACTGGCACCTTTCGAGAGCAAAAAAAAAAAACGAACATAATTGATTTTAAATGTTAACTGAATAATTTATATGTCATTAAATATAAGTACTTCCACATTTGTGAAATAATTTGATTATTAAGACCTACCACACATAAATAATCAAAATTTAATATTAACTTGAATAGTCAATAAATATAAAGATCAAATATTGTATATTAATGTGTGGTTGCTATTAATAAACAAATTATTTCACAAATGTCTATTTACATATCATTTAAATCATCATTATTAATAATTACCATTAATAAATAATAAATTATGAATTTAATATTTATAATGAGTAATAAATTATAAATTTATAATTTTAATTAAATTTTAAGACACAATCAAAGAAATAAAACTTAATTTCTTTTGAATCTATTTTTTTATAACAATCTGTCAAGTATGAATGACAATAAGTAATATTTATTAATAAAAATTGTGATAATAATTATTACGACCTAAATAAAAAAGTAAGTCGCATATGGACTATACCTAATGACATATCCATATATAATTAAAATAGAAAAATCTCAAATAGTAAATATTGTATATTGTTATAAGATTGTATATATAGAAAGTCGTAATTGATTATGATATAATATCGGAAGTAATGATAATGATTAGATAATGAAAGTCTTCTAACACTAAAATCAAATTATATGTCGAAAATTATAGGAATTATAAAAAGATTATAAGTATTATAAAAAAAAGCTACGAGAAATCGAAATGCAAGGAGCTAGGTACGTAATGGAAAGTTAAGTGACTCTTTCGAATCTACTACAGGTGCTAAACAACAATGCATCCACTCGCCGTTGTTATTTATCATAGTTATAGACTGGGATTTCAATTAGAGGCTTTAGAGTATGAATTAGAAACATGCCTCGTAACAAAAGCAAGTAAAGCGAAACTAACAGTGAAATTTGTAAATCGTTTAGGAACTCACACAATTGTCTGAGTATATCTGTCACAGAATAAAGATAGATGAAAATCATTTGTTGTATCCTTAAGCTCCTAATGGAGTATGGAATAAATAATAGTATGTCGGAAATAGAATTTGAAAGAGAATATTGAAAATAGTTGCATATAAAGTACAAGGGGGGCTTTCAAATTTTTCCTAATAAATATTTTTAAATAAAGTTTGAACTATTTTTTAAAATCCTCTCTTTACATGAGTCTCTATGTCCGCGGTTTATTGAAAATTCACTTTTAATTAGTTAAGCAGAATTTAGTGATGTATGGAGATATCGAATGAGAAAAATTCAGAAATTATAAAGAATGAATGGATTGCTTATTAACATTCTTCGCCTCGCTTTAAATGGGACTCGCATTACCTTTTTAAATAGTAAAAGGTAATGCCTGATTAATTCGTTGTCTTTCAAGTGATTTGTTTGAAATTTAAATAAACTAAATATTTATGCTATAGTAAATGTACTTGAGATTTACTAAGCGTCATATTTTGCATAATTTTTCATTGATTTTTGGTACCTAAAAAATTGTGCCATTTGAAATAAAATTTGGCGATATAGTTCACGTATTTTATTTACCAAATTTCATTTCTCTATTTGTTATAGTTTTTAAGATATTAAAATAAATGTAAAAGTTTAATATGTTTGGACCTTTCGATGGGTTTCGGTATTTCAATTGGGCTTAAAAAACATTTATAATTTTAATGGTCGTGTAATTTTAGATCTCACACATATTATAACGCCTATACACGTATTAATTTCACTTTGTTTTCTTTGAATAATCTTGATTTATTTATATATTGATGCAGTTAATTGGTAACATAGGAATTGCATTATTTATAGCCGAGATGCACAATAATAGTGAAAATTTATTAAAGAAATTCGAAAAAAATTCTTCTTCTATGCTTAATGAAACGCAAGAAATAGCCTAAACTACAATTACTCAGTCGAGGTAATTCACTCTAAATAGAGTTTTATTGAATTGTAATAAGAAGTTATTACAGAAGTATAGTTCAAAGCTCAGCATATCATCTTAACAGAATATATAATGCATTTGACTTAACAGA